ATGTAGACCAGGCTGAACTTCCATTGTTTTTGAAAACACACCATCTTACTTTCAAATAAAACTGTTTTCCTCACGTTCTCCCTATATTCCTATCAGCAAATCTGAAGGTCACTCTCCAGCCATTCTTGGCTGAACTTTTAGCTACCCTTGACTTTGTCAATTCTTTCTAAAACTCTTTTAGGAGGTGACTGTCTCTGTTTCCTTCTTAAAAGGCTTCTAGGATGGCATATTTGTCTTCATCCTAACTCAGCAGTCTGGATCTTGCTTGAAGGTCAGTCCTCCAACCTCTCTCCTCTTTCATGTCTTTATTCAACTACTAAGAATAAATGAATAATAAATAAATGAATGTCATCCACCCACATGATTTAAATACCAGCCACATGCTGGTGACTTATACCTTCAGCCCCAGTCTCCATCCCAAATTCCAGAGGAGGGTATCCAACACCCCTACATGTTGTCTAAAAGGCATCTCTGGTGCACTGGTCCACACAGAAAGGTCAATACCACCACCAATCTGCTCCTTCCAGTGTTTCCCACCTCAGTAAATAGCAGGATATGGGCCAGATTCTCCATTTCTCTCTCACTCTACCACCAGCACAATAAAGTCCATGTAGATTTCAGGACTTCTCACCATTTCCTCCAATACAGTACCATAGACCATGACTCTGACTGTGGCTTTTCTAAGCCATGTTACAGTTATACCTGAGTAAAGAAATGCCCTGACTCACAGTGTTCATTTTAAGGGTCAGAGTGGACCTGAACTCTGAGAACTTGTTTCTTCAGATGTCTCAGGGAACTGTGCTCTTTACCCAGACCTCACTCATTCTTTTATTCAAACAGTATCTCTAGCAGGAATTGGGGAAGTAGAAGCTAGAATCCACCCTTATTTTATCAGAGAATCTTGTCCTTTGATCCCCAGGGCCTAGAATATCACACACACTATTACAGACAGACTTTTCAATTCTTCTCCTTGTTTTCAATGAGAAAAAACATGCTGCTTTCAACACTTTGGTATGTTAATCATGCACACTCACATTCATTCACTATTTTGGGTGGAGGGCAAGGTGGGGTCCTGAGGGATTAAAGTCAGGTGCTCAGGTCTCAAGAAGGGCAGATGGCTCAGTGAGCTTGTTTACAACATTTACTTTACAAGGTTAGGTAAAAGTCATTAGACCAGATTATGTCATATTGTAAGTCATTCCTAGGCCAGACCTCACAGTCTTGCTTCAATTATTGCCACAGCTTCTTTAGAACATGAATAAATACTTTAAACATGCAAATCAGCCCTTGTCACTCAGCTGCTCATATTTGGAATACCCTCCTGTCCACACAAGACAATATACAAAGCCCTTCCCCTTGACTGGGGTCCTCTGTGACCTAAGGCTTGGCAGCTCTTTGACCATATCCCTTCCCATTCTTCCCTCCCTTACTTTAGCCCCACTGGCCTTTCCTCAAACTACTGAGCATGCACCAGGGCCTTTGCACTTGCTTTTTCCTTCAGGCTTGGTTTGTTCACTTACTTTATTCAATTCTCAGCCCAAATGCTGGCTACCTCAAAGAATCCTTGCTGTTCAGCCCACTGCGCAGGATTCTCTATTCCTTTACTAAGTGTTATCACAGGCTTATTTATTATTATTACTCTCCCTATTCCAATGTAAGCTCTCTTAGGTAGAGGACTTCCATTTGCTGCAGGTTACACACTCAGCTTCTAGAGGAGGGTCGGCACAGTGAGTAAGAACCTCCAGCACCACAGTATCAAATGAAAAGAGATTCATAGAAACACTTTAAAAACTACATAGTGCTAATCACATGGAAGGTATGATAGCACACACTGGATTTTCAATAAGCACTCATCAAGCAACTGCCTGTGTGTTCAGTAATATGTGAGGCACTAAAGTTTGAGGAATAAGTAAGACACAGGTCCTGCTCACTCTACCTGTAAAGTTGGGAACTGAATAGAAGTAGTGTTCTAGAACTATCTAACCAAGTCCTGCTACAGCATACTGCAGGACAGGATGATTTATTTTGCTTAGGATGGTGTGAACAAATGAAGGCTTCACACATGCACATAGACACACAGACACAGACACAGTCACATGAAGATTGGATTTGCAGGTTGTTGTTGGGCTTGCCAGAAGAAAAGCACGAGGAAGCACACTGCGAACACAGGAAAGAATGTCAGTGTGGGGGCACAACCATGGATGGTTCGTCATCTTCCCGACAGCTTTCCTAATTTCTACTTTTCTCTCACCTCCTGGAAGCCTCAGTTCTTCTCTGATCTGGCTCCCCTGGGTACCTTTTGTGTCTCCCTGTCACCCACTCCCCTTTGACCTTAGGGAGAAAGGCTATTATATTCCATACAGTTCAGTCTCTCTGCCCAGGACCACAGCAACTCTAGACCATCCATCTTTGAATCATCTGTCCAGAGACTTCAGATAATGTTGGTGGACTGAAATCCAGCCTCACAATAGTTTCACAGGGACACAAACGATTTAATGAAGCACTTGAGATATTTTGTTTACATAAACTTCCTCTTACATAATTGAGAGCACAAGGGAGAGACTGTGCTTAGTGAGTAGCAGTGGCTATTACAAAAAGAATGACCGGATGAAATAATGAAATGGATTTAAACAATTTATAAATATATTGCTAGATTTTGTTTTGTAATTAGTTGTTTTGAATTTGGGATACAGTTCCACTTAGAAACAATGTTATAAATGGCACTTAAATACCAAGAAATCCCAATAAGGCTGTTCAGCCCATAATGTAGCAATGAATTGCAGAAAAGTAATAGAGTTGTATAAGAAAGTGGTTTAAACAGTTTTGAATAATGATGTTCAAAGAAAGGTAATTTTAATTAGCAGATGATATATGAAAAATATGAACCCCCCACAACAATGGGGCATCTGAGCCCTATCAAGCATTCTGGAGGGCGCTGTCTCTAATGCCTATTTTCCAGTAAAAATGAGTACACTTATTCCCTTTAGCATAACCATATTCTTGTGATATTCTTTTGAGTCTGGTTCTGAGAAAGGGGATTCTGCTCGAGAGACTCTGGAAGATTATAAGAAGATGAACTTAATTCAATAGCATTTGGCGGGAAAATAAAGGAAAGAAACACCACATGAGCATGATTCTTCTTGAAAGAATATGGTGGTGAGGGGGAAAAGAGTCTAGATGGGAGCCATAAAATAACTCAGAATAGGCTGGTACTGGCTAGAACCAAGGGAATAATGACTTTGGAGTTTGCATTCAGAGGTGTTTGAAATATGCATTCTTTTATAGAATCTGGTGGTGTCTTAGTTACTTTTACTGTTGCTGTGATTAAAATACCCTGACAAAAGCAACTTATAGGAAAAGAGGCTTTTTGGGGGGTTTACAGTTGGAGGGTACAGTCCATCCTGGTGGGGATTCCTAGAGGCAGGAGTTTCACACTGCACCTGCAGTCAGGAAGCAGAGAGCAATGGAATTCTCATGCTCAGCTCCTTTCTCCTTTTTATGCACTCCAGGATTCAAGGCCAGGGAATGATGCTACCACTTTAGGGTGATTCTTCCTACTTCAACTGAGATAATCCCTCACTGGCTTTGGAACACTACCCTATACCTAGGTAATTCTAGATCCTGTCAATTTTACAATCAACTCTATCACAGGTAAATTTCCACTTAAGGTAGAATTCGTGGAGGTGGAATTTATGTAGTAACATATTCTTCTGGTTGATTTTTATGACATTATCAGTGAGCAGATATTATTGATTACTAAAGAAGGAAATTGAGACCCTTGCTTTTAATATAAACAGATGTCAAGTTCCCTTCCTCATGTCTATCCCTTTCTTTTCTCTAGCCTTCACTGTATGGTCCTAACCAAATTATTTTATTCTCTGCAGGCTATTCTCATGTTTAAATAACAGCACAAAACCAGATTATCTACTCTTTGCAATTCTCAAAATTTTATTATGAAATTGTCCAAAATGATAAACCATAACAGACCAGGAGGCCGAGACCTAATTATATGGCCCAAATCAAATAGAAGTGAACTCTAAATATCACAGATGATTGTTTTTTCCCCCCTAGACTTTGGTAATCTCCGAGGAGCTGTTTGGGTGGTAGAGATCTATGTAGTAAAATTGGTATGAGCCATGTAGAGCTGTCTTGGATTAGCAGTTAAGAGCACTGGCTTTTCTTGCAGAAGACAGGGGTTTGAATCCCAGTACCCCGATCCTGTCTGACAACCATCTGTCACTCCAGTTCCAGGGAATCTGATGCCCTCTTCTGTCTTCCCTGGGCTCTGCCTGGCTCAGGTGCTTTTACATACATGCAGGCATAACACTCATACACATAAAATTAAAATTTTTCTTAGATTAAAAAAGAGCTCAGGGGCTAAGGAGATAAAGGCCCTTAACACCTCCAAGCCTAAGAACCTTTAACATTCAGAACCCACAAGGTTGGAAAGAGAGAACTGATTCTCACAAGTTGTTCTTGACCTACAAATACACACTTACTGAATAAATAAATGCAATAAAAATAAAATTATAATAAAAAAGAGAGAGAGTCCACGGACACGGATGTGGCTCTGAAGGTAAAGAGCTTGCGAACGCAGCACGCACAATACGGGTCCCAGCACTCCACATAAACCGGGTTGGAGGAGTATGGCAGCTATCTCGGCACTTGGGAGGATCAGTTCAGTCTCAGCTACATACACGAGTTCCGCGCCAGCCTGGGCTACAAAAAATACCGTCTCAAAAAAAAAAAAAAAAAAAAGGCCAGAGAACAGCCTCAAAATCTGTTCACTCTTCTCTCCTCCCACTCAGCAGGCTTTCTAAGAACCATAAGGAGATAAAAGCTAATCTGTCCTCTTCGAGGTCCCCTTTACAAAGTCCGAACCGCCCAGCCCTGGTGGCTACAGGCCGGGCGGAAGCGCGGCCGCCACACTTCCGGTGTCCAGCCAGGCGCTGGCCACACTTCCTGACGATGTGGGCTCAGGGGGGCCGGGCGTAGGGGAGGGCCGTGGGTGGCGGCCACTGGGCAGGCGCGGGTGCTGAGCGGCCAGTCGCCCGAGTGCTGCGCGTCCCCTGTCCCGCGTCCCGCTTGCTGCCCGCCCGCCGCGCCATGCCCGCCGTGGACAAGCTGCTGCTGGAGGAGGCGCTGCAGGACAGCCCCCAGGTATACTGGGGGAGGCCGGGCGGAGCTGGGAGTCCCGGGACCCTCGGAGCCCGGGGACCCTGGGTGCCCATCACTTGCCAGCCGAGTGCTCGCCTGGTCCTCGGTGAAGTCGGGGTCGTCATTGCCCAGTCTCACTGGACTCTTAGGACCATCCGATGAGAAGTTTCCTTTATAGCAGTGGTGCAGAGGAAGACTGCAGCCCTGTGACCACGGCGACTGTATTACTCCTGATGCCACGGGACCTGGGGCATTTAGGGGCCCGAGTGGGAAGCAGAGAAAACCTGGATCCATTGCCCAGCCGTCTCAGGCCTTCCTTTGGCACTGTTTTCCACTGGTGAAGATAAAATTACACCACTTGCCCCATTTGTGGCACGGGGGTGGGAGGGGACTTCATTAGTACCCATGAGATGTGAGTCAAGTCGTTTGCTCTTGGGGATGAAAACTGGCAGGCCGATAGAGCAAACGAGTGCGGAATGATTAGTTGTAATCATTAGTTCTCCGGGAAGCTAATGTTCTTCCTTTAATGTCCTCCCACCGCCTTCCTAGCTCCTCTCCTGGTACTGCATCCTTGGCTCATTTAAATAAGTATCTTGATTCCCTAGTGTCTCAGCCCTTGAAAATTTAGAATAGGATTAAGCTTTTCCTTCCACAGTTTCCCTTCTTTTTGAGTTCCTTCCCTTTTCCTCCTGAGTGCATTGGCTGATCCTTTGATAGCCTTTACCTACATTCTGCACCTCTCCCTTATAGAATAAATCAGCAGGGCTGTGTGCACCTGCATTGTGTGCTCATTTCTGTGTGATCACCCCTGTGTTAGGCATGTAAGGAACTGTAAGCAAGCTCTGATAATGATTATTACTTGTTCTTTTTTTTTTTTTTTTTGTACAGGATCTCACTATATAGTCCTAGCCGGCCTGAGACTTGCTATGTAGGCCATGCTGGCCTTGAACTAACATCCTGAGTGCTGGGATTATGAGTATCTGCTACTGCACCCAGCCTATTTTTTATTTATTTAATTTTTTATGAATAGGCATTGACTAGGCTAACTTTTCAACGGCCTGTTTATATACTCTAGACTTTGGGCGTTTGATCTCTACCAGAGCCTGTGGTGGAAGGCATTTCTCCCATCCTTACCTGTTTTGTGGGATCTGAGCATAAGCATGTGGAAGTCACATGGGGAACAGGGATTTCCATTTACTTTGCTGTTGTGGACACTGAGGCACAAAGATAGACTATTTTCCTAGCCAGTCGTGATGGCGACTGAGGCAGGTGACAGAAGTGGTACTGATTGTCCCTGTAGTCCTCACAGACACGTTTTAGGATCTCCATGAATGAATGTACATGATTCTGGATGCCATAAAGGCTGTGCTCAGGGTAAGGACATTGGTGAAGGATTGGAAGACCTTGGTTGCAATTCTGTCTCTCACACTAACTTACCTTGTGGTTTGGGCAAGTTACTGAACTCCCCATGCTATGGTTAGCTCCATTTTCTCATCTACCAAAGTTCTACAAAAAACAAAGACTATGGAACAGATGGGCTGGGTCTAGCAGCTTAAAATTCTGCCCTATCTACATGGTTTGCCGCTTTGAGCTGGCTTAGGGGAAAAGAGTTTAGAGGCTGTCATTCCCATCCCATGTTAATTAAAAAATTTTTTTAATTAAAAAATTTAAATTTAGATTAAAAGTTAATTAAAAATTTTTTTTCTTAAATTTTCACTTTAGTAAATAAAGGTTTATTATTAGATTTTTGACTTCCCTGGAAGGTTATGAAGTTCTCATTTAATTCTACCATTTGTTTTGCTGTTATTTCTTGTAAGGAATATTTTTTAACATTTTTTGTTTATTCTTTGACAATTTCATATGCATATACAATATATCTTGGTCATATCCACCTTCTGTTTTCCCCTTCCTTTTCTTTGAGGCTCTTTAGACCTATCCCTCTCCCACCTCCATGTCTTCCTTTTTCCCCCTTTCTTAATAACTCACTAAATCTAATTAGTGCTTCCTGTATTTACATGGGTGTGGGGCCATCCACTGGTGCATGGGCAACTTACCAGCAACCACACCCCCAAAGAAAACTGACCCTTCCTTTCCCAGCAGCCATCCTCAGCCAACTGCTCCACAGCTGAGGGTTAGGGCCTCCTTGAGTTCTTCTATTCCATGCTGGAATGTTGACTGGCATGATCTTGTGCAGGTCACCACATTGCTGGGAGTTCATGAGTAGAACGGCCACGTCACGTCTAAAAGATAGCATTTCACAGCACTCTTCCCCATTCTTTATGCCCCCTCTTCCATGATGTTCCCTGGTAGGGGGGAGGGAGAGAGGGAGGGAGGGAGGGAGAGAGAGAGAGGGGCGGGTAATATGAATCATAGTACAAATGGGAATGGAGATCAGAAGACAACTTATGGGAGTCACTTCTCTTTCCACCTTGTGAGTTCCAGGGATCAAACTCAGGTCATCAGGTTTGGCAACAAGCACCTCTTCCCACTGAGCCATTTACAGGAAGTTTGTCTTTTTTGTTGAGATGTGCTCTCTCTATGTGGTTGCTGTGCAGAATGGAAAATGGAATTAACAGGGTCTTTCGTAATCCTCAGAGCATGGTTAGCACTCTTTTGTACATGGCACGGCCTAATTGTAGCTTTATTCCAGTGAGATCCAGAGACATGGACCTGGAAGGAATACATTTCTTTCATTTTAAGAGAATTAATTAAAAATAAGTTGTAAATGCCTTGAATTCAAGGGTGTCAGTCCAACCTTTTGGCTTCTCTGGGCCACATCATTATCTTCAGAGTTTACACTGGAGAGCCATATAGTCGAGCTACAAAAAAATGGGAAATTTCTTCATGTTTTAAGTAAGTATGAGTCTGTGTTGGGCTGCATTCACAGCTCTCTTGGGCCATGGATTGGACATGCTTGGTCTGGATCCTGCATTTTATATGCCAAGTGCTATTCTAAATGCTTTACCTATATTAGTTTTCTCAACTGTCTTTTGAGGTAGACCATCTAGTAAAATGGCCCAGGAACAGAGAAGTTAAATACCTTGCCCAGGATTGTACTCTAAAGTGACAGAGTCAGAATTGGAACCCAGGCAGCCTGCATATAGAGGGATTTTGCTTTTGTGGTACAGGGGATTGAATCCAGGGCCTTGTGCAGTGATTGGCAAGCACTCTATCACTGAGTTCCATCTCCAGCTTGGGGTATTGTTTAAGTTGCCCCGTTACCTAACACCTGGCTGTCCTGTGGCCACAAATGTTTTACCAGAGGAAAAGCTCCCAAGATGCACTCAGTTTGTTTCCTCTAGTTTTATGTCGAAGAGCTATGAGGATTGCTTAAGTAACCTGTTTGCACAGGACTAATTAAATGAACACAAAAGCTTTTGTATTTCAACTCAAGTGACCTGAGAAATGCTGAATAGAAGTTGACTGGCTATAGACACAACTATTCATTTCCTCCTCTTCAATGTGCAGTGCTGCATGTTGCATTGCAAAACGGGTCTGTGTGACTATGCATGTATTTCTGCTGATCTTTGATACGAGTGTTGTAGGGATGAAGAGTTGCTCCCCGTGGTTGCTGCTTGTGAGCCTCTGCCCTCTAGCCAGGCACTGCTGGCTGCTGGGAAAATGACCATCAACCAGATAAGCATACCTGCCCTTGACTGGCTCACAGTCTATTCCCAAGGCAGATAAAGTAAGGTAGCCAGAGCTCTAGTACTGCTGTAATCAATAGGGACAGGGACACAGCTTTGAGCCCCAGCAGGTATTTTGCGCCCTTGTCAGAGGCGTGCTTTCTTATCCTGTAAGCAGTGTGCTTTTGAGATAAGGTGGAGATGAAGTTCTGTTGCCTGAGCTTTTTGGTGTTTTGCTTTGTGCTTTGTTTCTTTGGCAGTTGGCATGACTGACAGAAACGAAAGCCTTGGTTCTGAAATTATACAGTGGCCTAGCTGGGAACAGTCTGCCCCAAGCAATCAGTCCTTTCTTTATCTCAGCGAGATGCCTGAAAACACGATGACTGGTTTTGTGTGGCCTCATTGTAGAGGGAGCTTGTCCCATAGCTCTGTTTATAAGATGTTTTCCCATTCAGAGACTTGGGTCTGCTATTTCTTTCCCTCCTCCAAACTAGGGGATAAAATCTGTGTTTAATTTAAAATTTTTTAATTAAAAATTATTTTATGTGTATGAATGGTTTGCCTGAATGTATGTAAGTGCACTTGTGTCATGCAGTGCCCAAGGAGGCCAGAAGAGGGTGTTGGATCCCTTGGAACTGGAGTTAGGGACAGTTGTTAACTGTGATGTTGGTGCTAGGAACTGAACCTGGGTCCTTTATAATAGCAGCCAGTGCTCTTTACTGCTGAGACTTCTCCTCAGCCCCTTGTTTTTGTTTTTTTATTTGTTTTTTTGAGACATGGTCTTGCTATGTAGCTGACCAGGAACACACTATGTAGACCAGTCTGGTCCTAAAATTCACAGAGATCTGCCTGCCTCTGCCTCTGCCTCCTGAGTGCTAGGATCAAAGGCATTGCCACTTTTTTTTTTTTTTTAAAACAAAAGGACCAAATTAAGCATGGCGTGGTGGCACATGCCTTTGGTTCCAGTGCCCTAGCCCTCTAGAGACAGAGGCAGGTGGATGCCTGTCTACATAGTGAGTTCCAGGCCAGCTGAGGCTACAGGGAGATGGTCTAAAAAAAAATTAAATAATAAATAAATAAACAGATTATCAATGCTTTAAAATTGGGCCATTACACAGTTGCCTGCTATGGAGAAAGTCAGGACTATTTGATTAGGTAACATCCTGGATGTTTACTCTTACACAAAGGACCAACGTGGAGCTGAGGTGAGGCAGTGCTTGGTTTTGTTTTCGCTGACTACTGCTGCTCCTGAGAAGTAGAGTATGGAGAAAGGGTGGAGCCCTAGCCTGAGCTAGCCACTGTTGCCTGGGTTTTCATTCAACCTCTCAGCTTGTGTTTGAACATAGTCGTTAAACTGAGACTAAAAATAACTCCTCGGTTGATTGTCCTGAAGAGTGAACAGCAGACGCCTGCCAGCGTGCCACAGTAACTCCATCAAGGATTGCCCGTGTTATCTTTTTTAAATGGTGTACACCAATTTGGCCCTTTTTGTGGGATTCTGAGTGATAGATAAAGTAGCCTATGGATGAATCTGGTTGATCGGGAGAAAGCACCAGAACACAGATAAAATGCCGTTGGAATAGAGTTTATTAGCAAAGGAACATATGGGACAGATTCCCTTCTGGGCAGCCCAGGTCATGAGCTGGGGTCTTTTAAAGGGGGAGGCTTCTGGGGGTTGCAGAAGGCTGTAAAATATATATTTTTTAAAAAGTTGGGGGGGCAGGAGAGTGGGACTGTTAAAACCTGCCCTCTTTAGAGATCAAAGGGGAAGCCTGCTGTGTTGGCCAAACAGTGGAGAAAAGTCTGCTTCTCTTAACTTCAAAGACCAGGGTGCTTTTCTCAGAGGCTTGGGAGGTCTGTGAGGCCCTGTTGGTGAGGGGGCGGGGCTATCTGAACCTTAACACTGAGCCGCTAGCATGCCTTTGCTTGGCGTTTCTTCTCATCCTTATGTTTGAGAGCATCCCTGCTACTCCACTCATTTGGCCACACTAGCTGCCGTGACTGTGTGTGTGGCACAGAGTGTCCCAGGCAGCTGGGTGTTTTCTTCCCCCCAGGAGTGATCACTATCTAGTTAAATTCAGAAGAGAAGGCTAGAGTTTCCCTGTCAGTTCTACAGTCACATGCCCAGAATGTTCAAACAACAAAACACTGTGATACAGTTCTCCTGCAGTTATCATAGATGAGAATGGGGTGATCAGAGAGAATCTAGCTCCTGTCAGTCCCTGTCCTGGACTGTGCACCACAGAGCATACCCACTGATGAGACTCTCACTGCTGGTGAGCAAGCCACCCTTGCAATGGACCTGAATTTATAGTTCAACCCCACTACTTCCCAGCAGTGGGAGGCTGAACACATTTTAAAACTTCACTGATCCTCTGTTTCATCTTTTGTAAAACGGGCTAATGTAACCATTGTATCTGCTTATATGGTTGTTGGATTAGATACAGTAACAGATGCTTCCTGCCTATCAGTGTCTGACAGGGTTACACAGCAAATGTCATTGTGGTTCTTTGCATCATCTTTGTGCAGAACATTTATGTCCTTAGCTCTCTTGTATATTATTCCTCAGAGTACGAAAAGCAATACATAGGATTTAGCGAAATGAGTATCAGTAATATTTTTTAAAAACAAAATATGCACAGTTCAGTTGAAGCCCTTCTCATGTTCCTGGGCATGCCAGTTGTAATAAAGAAAGGTAACTCTTCATGGGCGTTGGTAGGCTTCTGCAGCCTTGGGGACCAGGAACACACAGACGACTGCAATGTTCCATGACACTCTTAGAGAAGCATGTTTCTGTAGTATTCAAATGGATTCAGTGTGTAAGCACTGAGCATCCAGCGAATAAGCATCCAAAGAGCATCATCTTTCTAATCAGTATCACCTGCTGGCACTGCATGTTCAGTGCTGGTAGGTATTTATATATGTTCATTATCTTGCTAACTCTGTAATTAGTGCCAAAGCCTGCATGTGGACCCAGGACTGATGATCTAAGGTCACAGCTCCTTCAAGAGATCCCAGCAGACTCAGCCCTGCAGACCTTGGAGTCACTTATCCTCACCAGGAACTCAGTTCTCTGCATGGTGTTTTGTCAGATACTGGCTGAGGGCAGGGAGGCAAGTGTGTGTGAATACTGAAGGACAGGCCACCCGCTTTAACAAACAAAAAAACATATGTTCAAGACAGGCAATAAAGAGTTCTAATCAGGCTGGAGAGATGGCTCATGGGTTCGGTTCCCAGGACCTATGTGGTGGCTCACAAACATCTGTAACAAACTCCATACATGTGTGCAAGCAAAACACTCATATAAAAAAAGAGTTCTAAATCATCATTTTTACCTACTCATGGTCATCCAGTACTGACTTATGACAGCTAGTGGGCCACAGCTACTATATTTATTTACAAATGGAATAGAATAGAAAAAAAATCAGCGTGTGTGCATTCTATTTATTGACCAATGTCCTTTGGTAAAATCTTTGCTCAAGTTCTGGGGTAAAATGTATTTTATATGCTAGATTTTAATTAAAACAATTTCTGATTTATTTTTATTTTATGTGTATGAGTATATTGCTTGCATGTATGTGAGTGCACCCATGTCATGCAGTGCCCACAGAGGAGGTCAGAAGAGGGCATCAGATCCCCTGGAACTGGAGTTATGGATGGGTGTTAGCCACCATGTGGGTGCTGGGAACCGAACCCAGGTCTTCTGCAAGAACAGCCTTAACCCCTGAGTCATCTCTCCAGCCCCTAGATTTAAATTTAGAAAGTTGAGGAGTTCCTCTAACATGGGAAGTGTGTACTCTGTGAGCTCCCCAAGAGGGTGTTTGCTCTCACTGAGAGCTGTTTAAAAAGCTGTTTGCCGGTTTCATTGTCATCACTTGTGATCCAATATTAGTACACTTATTTTTAGTCTGAAAGACCCAGGCAAACCAGGATAAGGGTACTCTGCTTTGTAAAGCCCCAGAGTTTGTGGAGCAAAGTCAAATGCGGATTACGTTGGTGGTGGGCGGTGAAAAGGGAGAAAAACCCAATGCCCAGGTTTCTGCTGCAGTTCCCTGGGGGTGCTCTGAGCCCTGGATACTAGTTGTGGCTGCAGCTCAGACAGCCCAGCAAGGACTCCAGCCTCCAGCACTGTGGGTCTGGTCCTGCAGGTGGTCAGCTCAGCAATAGAGAGGCCCCAGGGACAGTGGAGCACAGTGGCCACACCCACACCAGCCATTTTTCTAACCTTCTCTTAGCTAAGGTAAAAAAAGAAGGACTTGAAATTCATTTGTAAGAAGATAATGTGCTAATAAATTGTTCTTTGTAAAGCACTATGGGGTGTGACCTCTTTCAAAGTACTCATTCTTTGCTCTATAGGTAATTTGCTGAGACCCCATTATTGCTAATGTAGTGTTTTAAATTCTTTCTGTGCCAGGCATATTCACATAAGTGAGTAGATATCTCTTATGTGAGGCCTTGACACTTGTTCACATACCATCCAATCTAGAAACATGTCATTAGTGCTTGATGAGTGCTGAGCACCATACTAGAAAGGTAGTAGGAACAGCCTTCCAGGCTGCAGCTGCCCAGCTACTCTGAGAGCTGGGTTTTTCCTCAGAGAAGGGGCCTGCGTTCTGGGTGCTATTTGAGTTTTGTACCAAGTGCTTTCACCATTAGGCCCAGGGGACTGGAGATTCCTGGCTACGAGTTTGAAAGTTTGTTGAACAAAACATCACACACACACACACACACACACACACACCCAGAAACTATTTGACTGTGTTACACAAGTGTCTTAAGAGGAAAGAATGACAGTCACCCGGGTTGCAGAGAATCAAGCAGCTGGGTCAGGCAGGGTGATTAAGGCAGCTGTGCTGGACAGCCACACTCAATACACAGACCTGTAGGACTTTGTGTTTCCTTCATGACTTGAAAGACTGCCCTTTCTAGAACTTTTTATTGAGTGACTTTGACGTAGGTAGGCTCTGGAGTCAGGATGGTCCCCAAGGGTTCTTTTTGCCTGTGGTGCTGGGGCTGGATCCCAAGGTCTCACACGTCCCAGTCAGGTGCTATACCACCGAGCCACATGCCAGCCTGGTGGAATCGGGCTTCCCTTCTTGGCCCTGCAGCCGTCTTCTCAGCTTCCCCTGCATGTGGTGCTAAGGATTGGAATGACGTTCACTAGACACCTTCCCTTCCTTCCAGGCCGTCCGTCCCTGTGCCCTGTGTGTTCTCCTTGTCACTTCAGCGCTGAGAGTGAAGATTGACCCTTTCTTCTTTGCCTGCAGACTCGTTCCTTGCTGAGTGTGTTTGAAGAAGATGCTGGTACCCTCACAGATTATACCAACCAGCTGCTGCAGGCTATGCAACGTGTCTATGGAGCACAGGTATGCTGCTGGCCCCTTCTCTCAAAAATGAGAAGTTTGAGTCAGAAAACCTCATTTGAAAACTTGAGAGACAACCCACCTTTAATCCCAGAAGAAGTGGGCAGATCTCTGTCAGATTCAGGCCAGCCTGGTCAACATAGCAAGTTCTAAGCCGGTCAGAGCTTCATAGAGAGACTACCTCAAAAAACTAAAAAAAGTTAAGAGAAACTCAAAAGTGGGGGTTAGGATGGTGGCTTAGTAAAGACCTGAATTTGAGCCCCAGAACCCATGTAAAAATGCTGTGTGGGGGAGTGTCTTCCCAGCTCTTGAAGAGGTGAAGACAAGCTGATCCTGGGGCTCCCTGGTCAGCCAGCCTAGCCTAATCTTGAGCCCCTAGTCCCAGTGAGAAACCGTGTCTCAAAAAACTCCCTGGGGAGTGACACCTGAGATTGACCTCTGGTGTTCACATATGTACACATGTGCACATGCTTTCCCTACCCCCGTCCAAACATATACACAAAATATCAGAACTGTTTTTCTTACTTCTCTTTGCCCCAGAAACTAAGGACTGTCTATTTGTATTGTTTGAGAAAGTGGACTGTAACTAGAGCCAGGAGGGAGGACCCACATAATTGCTTTTAATTTTTTTAATTCAACCCCAAAAGGAAACAGTAGAGTCTCCTCTTCCCACTTGCGAATAAGTGGCCTCAGTATCTTGAGACATACTCTTTGTCTTTCTCCTAAATGGGCAGTCTTGGATATCAGTGTGGGAGGGTAGAGATGTGTTTTCAAGGCCTTCCTCTGAAAAGACTAGAGTCACAGTTCTGGAACTATGGGGTGACCTCTTTGTTTTGAGGAACAAATACTTTTGGCTTGCAAACCCATGGAAAATAAGTTGCTGAGTAGCAAGAGAAAAGCTTTTTAAGATTAAAAAGTGCCACGTATGTCACTTTCTAAGGACAGATTTGAGTCACTTCAAATTGTGTTACACATCAAAATATTACAGCAGAAATTTTCACTATTGAGTCTTTGCTAGCTTAAGTCTGTATGTGTTAATGTTTCTTTTGCCCATTGGCAAAATGCAATGCTTTATACCACATTCAGTGGTAAATAGCTCCTACTAGTCATGTATGGTGGGGCCAGCAAGATGGTTCAGTGGGTAGAGGTGCTTGCCATTAAGCCTGACAACCTGAATTTAATTCTAGAACCCACATGGTGGAAGGAGAAAACCAGCTCCTGCAAGTTGTCCTCTGATCTCCACATAATGCACTGTAACACACACACACACACACACACACACACACACACGTACACACACGTACACACTCAAGAAGATGTAATTAAAAGCATTTAAAAAATAATCATAGATCATCACTATCAACATTGTCATATAGTCATTAGTCACCATTCATGAGAAGAGGCCCTGGTCTTTGCCAGTAGGGAGCTTTCATTGGATAAGGAGACAGACACAGTTACCATGTGTGCTGGAAAGCCAGGGAGAAGGCTTGCCCCCCTCAGAAGAGTTGTGCTGGTGTGTAATTTGGCTCTCTGTTACTGTCACAGAACATCAGAGAGGATCAACTTGTGGGGTGGACTTGTTTACTGTGGCTCACTGTTTCAGTTTCAGCCCCTAGTCACTTGGCCCTGAGGCAAGGAGGTTCACCATGGTGACAGGGAGAAGCCTGGTGGAGGAAGCTGCTCACCTGATGGTAGCCAGGAAGCCATAGAGGAAGGGCTGGACTTCCAATGTCCCCTTTCAAGGGCACACCCCCAATGACTTAACATCCACAAAGCCTCACTTCTTTTTTATTTTTATTTTTTAATTTTTTTGTTCTTTTTTGAGACAGGGTCTCCCTGCAGCCCACTGGCCTGGTACTCACTATGTAGACCAGGCTGGCCTTGAACTCACACAAATCTGCCTGTCCCTGCCTCCTGAGTCCTGGGGCTAAAGGCATGTGTTGCTATGCCTGGCTGTACTTCTTTTTTTTTAAAAAAAAAAATTTATTTTTATTTTATGTTTATGAGTGTTTTGCCTGCATGTGTGTAAGTGCACCATGTGTTTGCAGTGCCCACGGAGGCCAGAAGAGGGAGTCAGATCCCCTGGAACTGGAGTCAGACTGTTGCTAGCCACCATACGGCAGGGCCTCTGCAAGAGTGCTCTTAACCACTGAACTATCTCTCTAGCCCCTGGGCCCCACTTCTTAAAGTCCCACCACCTCCTGGTAGAGCCACAGGCTTGTAACCAACTTTTGGCACATTGGGTTTTGGGGACATTTGAGAGCCAAGCTATAACAGGTGGGCATCGAAAAGGATGGTGATTGTGAGCATTGTGATTTATTTATTGAATACAGCTTTTAGACAGTTCCATGAGTTTTACATTATTTGATTTCAGTTCCATAGCACCTCTGTGGGGTGAGTGATGTTGCTTTCATCCCCATTTGCTAGAGCCGAGGACTGAGGATTTGATACAAGTAATGTGGATAAGCAAGTAGACTTGCTGAAGATGGGTTCTGACTCTTCGCTTCTTACTCTCCTTGGGAGGAGCCTGAGCAGGGAAACAGCCTGGGAGTGGGGTGGAAGGGTTACATCAGATGCTGAGAAGTGGAGTGAAGGGGTCAGGAGGGTTGAGGGGAATTGAGAATGATGAAGAGGGAGTGGCTAGTGGGAACCAGGGTGCAACAGAGTAAAGGAAATGACTCCTCAGGGGAGTCATTCAGGGGAACTGTGGTTGACAACAGTTAAATGTTTATTTTTAAATAACTAGGAGAGCTTTGAATGCTTCCAACACAAAGAAACGGTAAACATCTGGAGTGACATGTGCCAGTTCCCTTCATCTGATCATTACATGCTGTGCACATGTACTGAAATATCAGTTTCCTCTAAGTGTGTGTGTGTGTGTGTGTGTGTGTGTGTGTGTGTGTGTGTGTGTGTACAGTTACTTTGTATCACTTAAAAAGAAGATCTGGTGAAGGAGGAGAATCAGAGTGACTAGACCTTTCACCTGATAGCAGGAAGAATACAAGGGAGAACCTGGGAGGAGGAACAGAGCGCATGGATGTGCGCATGTAGATGTGTGTGCATGGTGGGATGCCCTGTATAAGGCTCTTGTTTTTTTTGAGACAGGGTATTTTTTCAGACAGGGTCTCTCTGTAGCCCCAGCTGGCCTATAATTTACTATGTAGACCAGGCTGGCCTTCATCTCACAGAGGTCCACCTGCCTCTGCCTCTAAATGCTGGGATTACACACCATGCCTGGCTGGAGACAGCTAACAATAGCCTTCAACTGATGATCCTTCTGCCTTTGTCTCTCAAGCGCTGGGATTACAGGCATGTGGCACCGCTTGACTCCCCAATTCTCTCCTGAAGCACTAGCCTGAGGGTCCATGGGATGTTGAAGTAAGGGAAGAGTCTTGTTGGAAGTTCAGATCCAGAGTTCAGGGCTGCATATAGAGATTTACAAACTTTGCAGTAACATGCAAGGATAACTTTAAAAAAAGCTTTATTTATTTTATGTGTATATGTGTTGACCTGCATGTCTGTATCTGTGCCACATAAATGCCTGAGGAGCCAGAAAGAGGGTATTGGATCCCATGGAACTAGAGTTATGGATGGTGGTGAGCTGCCCAATATCGGTGCTAGGAATGGAAGCCTGGTCTTCTGCAAAAGTAGCAAGTGCTTTTAACCTCTGAGGTGTGTCCATCCCCAAGGATAACTTAATAATTAAAATGAATTTGTTTGTTTGTTGTAGTTCTGGGAATTGAACTTAGGGCCTCATGTGTGCTAGGCAAGTGTTCCATAACTGAGCCATATTCCCAAACCATAGAACTAGTTTTAATGTTCAGAAAAATTGAGTGCTCATTTGTAATTTTGTTTGCTTGCTTGTTTTGGTAAGGCATTCAGAATTTGGGAACATGAAGAGTATTGTAACTTTTCATTCGGTTATTTGTATTGCATGTTTTTTACTTTCCCTAAATATTCCAAATTTAATACAATAGAATAATTTTTGATTGTGCTTAGGTCTGGTCTTGCTTTCTATTCAGTCATTTTGAATACTGTCATTAGATGATCTTGTCTCCTATTTAAGATTTACATGGGTGTGTCTGCTGTTCCCGGGAGTCTGTTCTGCCTTTCCATGTCTGTTACAACTGCTTATTGGAGAGTCCAGATGCATTTTTTTTTCCTTTTGAACCAGAAAAGTATGCTATGCCAAAACTAAGTAGGTCTTACATTCCGAGAGGCTAGAACTCCATTTTTAACTCACAGCACATGACCATCACGTGGTTGTCCACTGGCCAGTACCCTCCTCTCCTGGCTTCCCATGCAGAGCTGTGGAAACGCCCAGAGTCAGCCAGCAACAAGCTGATCCAGACTGGCAGGGGTGGGGCTCTGGCCTTTCAGGCTTATTGGAAGGCCAAGATGTTGTATTTAGGTCTTTTTAATTTGGAAAAGAAAACTTGTGGATCTTTTTTGATTGGTTTGCTTTGATACATGTATATTTAAGATAGTAATTCTCAGTGTTTTTACTAGGCTCCCCCAACCCCCATTCTATTTTCTCGGTTTTATTTCATGTTATTCTTTAAATACTCTGTGCTTAGACGTGTTGAATTCGATTCGTAGAGTTTAATACCTTCATTTTTGAAAATAGCCATACAGCCAGACAGTTTTTCACTAATATTTTAAAAACCAGTTTTATGCAGTTAGTAAAGCAAAGGTATTTAATCAGCTTGCAGGATAAATTTCTGGATTCTGATGTAGCAAATGTCCTCTGGTCATTAGTTTTAGAAGAAGGAAGAGTGAGAAGTAGAGAAAATTCGGAGAGTAGTTTCCCTTTGTGGCTGGGTTGAAGGGAATTTTAGATTCCATTTGGCTTGTCTGGAATGAACCTGTGGGGGATGAAGGGTTTGGGCTTCTCAGGGAAGTCCCTGCAAATCCTGTCTGCCCTCTCAGCTGGCAAACAAGCCTTTGCTGTGCTGGGGGCCGACCACCCCCTGCCCCCCATTGTGGCCTGAGTGGAAAGGTTG